GTTTTTTAAATAAGGCTAGTTCCGAGGTTAAGATACTAATGGTTCCGTTCACTTTAATAATCAGATCGTGGATCATTTTCCAATAATTAATTAACTGGCAGAACCACCAGATATGGGCCATATTGCCCAATCCCCCACAGTCTCTCCAACACCGGTCCGAATACATATTGTTCATGTTATGTAATCTAGACGGAGCCAGGTACCAGCGATATAAGATTTTATAATGATTTTCAAAATGGTCGGTGCAATACGAAATACCTTTTAAACCTGTAAAGAAACCGAACCATTCTTCTAAATCGTACTGGGCACCCAGCTCCGTCTCCCATGACAGCATATATTTTAATTTAATTAAGGGCTTGGCATTATGAGATAAGTAACATAAGGATATCATACCTTTACTAGCGGGGCTGTATAAAATAACTTTCTCTAAAGGAGATAACTCAAGTGATTTATAGTTTTTATCTGTTTCAGATACCTGTTATACCTGTTCTTTCAATTTGTCAATGATTATCATACATTCCAGTTCACATACATCTGATAATCCATACTTAAGCTTAAATTTTTCCAAAGAAAGAATAGCATTGCCATAAAAAAAATTTTCCAGATTAGTTATAGAGCAATCCTTCAACAATTCTATTTTTAAGGATGGTATATAATCTTTCAATAACTCAATAGGCATTGCTCTATATAAACTGGGAGACTCGTCATTTTTAAAAACAATGTCCCAGGCCTTAAGCGTAGTCTTGGTAGATAAAAATAATTTTGCAATTCCAGGTCTTTTCTTAGAATTTAACCAAGGTAATTCTGATAATCTAACCAGTAAAATTTTTGATTCGTCTATTTCCATCCATCTGGGTTTATCATCCTGGTTGTTAAAGCTCACAACCACTGCAGCGTTAGCAGCGAAATAATATTTGCGGATATCGGGGACACCGATACCGCCATTCGATTTATGGTGCTGCAGGAAAGTGAGCCTCACTCGGGCAGGCTTGTTTCCCCAGATAATTTTCAACATTGTCGAGTGAACTTTATTAAAAAATGATAATGGAATGGACAGAGGAATGGTCCTAAAAAAATATAACATTTTGGGGAGTATCGTCATTTTAATAGATGCGACCCTCCCCAGCCATGAGAGCTCCATCCCGCCCCATCTCTCCATCTCTTTTTGTAAGTCTGACCATGCTTTCCTCAAGTTGTGATTGTGCATATTGACCAAATGTTTGCATAAATTAATGCCAAGATATTCCATATATTCAGTTCTCCAATCAAATAAATATGATTTCTTAAGGGCAATGGTTAGCAGTCAGTTTCCTTCACGAGTGTGCGTTTCAGGGCCTGCCCAGTGCCACCACTCACTCACTGGTGTCACAATAGCTTGCATTTAAAAAAAAAAAACTTTTTGGACTGTAATATAATAGCAGTCAGTTTCCTTCACGAGTGTGCGTTTCAGGGCCTGCCCAGTGCCACCACTCACTCACTGGTGTCACAATAGCTTGCATTTAACCCCTTAAGGACACATGATGTGTGACATGTCATGATTCCCTTTTATTCCAGAAGTTTGGTCCTTAAGGGGTTAAAAAAAATAATAATTTTTGGACTGTAATATAATAGCAGTCAGTTTCCTTCACACGTGTGCATTTCAGGGCCTGCCTAGGCACAGTGTCACACCAGTGCAACTCATATCTGGTGTAACAGTAGTGTACATTTTAAAAAAAAAATACAATTTTGACTGTAATAGATTGAATAGCAGTTAGTTGTCTGCAAGCGTGTGTGTCAGGCCTACAGCGTCTATTCTGCCAACTTCTGCCACTGCACAGTGCCACTCATATCTGTTGTCACAGTAGCTTGCACGCATAGTACCACTAATCGAAAAAAAAATGACAGACAGAGGCAGGCCACCCCGCAGGGGCCGTCGTGGTCGTGGTGCTGTGATTCCCTTTGGCCCTAGAATAATGCCCAGTGTTCAGAGGCCACGTACCCTGAACTCGAAAAGTTCTGAGGACATAGTTGACTGGCTAACACAGGACACCCAACCTTCTACAGCTTCCGCTCGGAACCTTGACGCACCATCCTCCTCCAGCTTAGCTTCGGGCACATCTCAACTTACCACTCGCCCGCCTGCCGCCACTACCAACACTAGCACCACAGCAGCTTCACTTGGTATGTCAGAGGAGTTATTTACACATCAGTTGGAAGAACTTAGTGATGCGCAACCATTATTGCCAGAGGATGTAGATAACAGGGATATGTCTCAGTCAGGCAGCATTACACACATGGACGTACGATGATGATGATGTTGTACCCGCTGCTGCTTCCTTTGCTGAGTTGTCAGATACAAGTGAAGCGGTTGATGATGACGATGCATCCGTGGATGTCACGTGGGTGCCCGCTAGAAGAGAAGAAGAACAGGGGGAAAGCTCAGATGGGGAAACAGAGAGGAGGAGGAGGAGACGAGTTGGAAGCAGGGGGAGGTCGTCGCAAGGAGCTAGTGGCACAGTCAGACAGTATGCATCGGCACCCGGGGTCAGCCAGACAGCACGCCAATCAACGCATGCTGTTGCCACCACCAGAATGCCATCATTGCAGAGCTCAGCAGTGTGGCATTTTTTTTGTGTGTCTGCCTCTGACAACAGTGATACCATTTGCAACCTGTGCCAAAAGAAAGCGAGTCGTGGGAAGTCCAACTGCTTTGCGAAGGCACATGATCGCACATCACAAACGCTTTTGGGATCAACACATGAGTACAGGCAGCACACAAACTCAAAGCCGCCACCCTCCTCCTGGTCCAGCATCTTCATCCATGTTAACCACTGCTGTCCTCCTTGCCCCCTCTCAACCATACGCCCCTCCGTCTCTCGCCTTGAGCAGTTCCTGCTCATCTGCCCACAGTCAGGTGTCTGTCAAGGAAATGTTTGAGCGTAAGAAGCCAATGTCACAAAGTCACCCCCTTGCCCGACGTCTGACAGCTGGCTTGACTGAACTCTTAGCCCGCCAGCTTTTACCATACAAGCTGGTGGAGTCTGAGGCATTCAAAAAATTTGTAGCTATTGGGACACCGCAGTGGAAGGTACCCGGCCGAAATTTCTTTGCACAAAAGGCAATCCCCAACCTGTACTCGATTGTGCAAAAGGAAGTAATGGCATGTCTGGCACATAGTGTTAGGGCAAGGGTCCATCTGACCACTGATACCTGGTCTGCAAAGCATGGTCAGGGCAGGTATATCACCTACACTGCGCATTGGGTAAACCTGCTGACGGCTGCCAAGCATGGAATGCGTGGCTCTGCAGAGGAGTTGGTGACACCGCCATGACTTGCAGGCAGGACTGCTGCCACCTCCTCTTCTCCTCCTACTCCATCCTCTTCCATAACCTCGTCGGCTGAGTCCTCTTCTGCTGCTACGTCTTGCTCTACATCAACGGCACCCCCCCAGCTTCCCAGGTACTATTCCACATCCCGGATACGGCAGTGTCACGCCGTCTTGGGGTTGACTTGCCTGAAAGCAGAGAGTCACACCGGACCAGCACTCCTGTCCGCCCTGAATGCACAGGTGGATCAGTGGCTGACTCCACACCAACTGGAGATCGGCAAAGTGTTTTTTTGCACTTGGGCAAGTTGACACATGTGCCACAGGACATCCTGAAGCAGGCCAGGAAGGTGTGTGGCCATTTCAGGCATTCCTACACGGCCATGGTGCACTTTTCAGATATCCAGTGGCAAAAAAACATGCCAGTGAGGCGCTCGATTTGCAACAGCCCGACACGTTGGAATTCAACACTCCTAATGTTCGACCGCCTGCTCCAACAAGAAAAAGCCGTTAACGAGTATTTGTATGACCGGGGTGCTAGGACAGCCTCTGCGGAGCTGGGAATTTTTTTGCCACATTACTGGACGCTCATGTGCAATGCCTGTAGGCTCATGCGTCCTTTTGAGGAGGTGACAAAACTAGTCAGTCGCACCGAAGGCACCATCAGCAACATCATACCATTTGTTTTCTTCCTGGAGCGTGCCCTGCGAAGAGTGCTGGATCAGGCCGTAGATGAGCGTGAAGAGGAAGAGTTGTGGTCACCATCACCACCAGAAACAGCCTTATCAGCATTGTTTGCTGGACCTGTGGCAACGCTGGAAGAGGATTGTGAGGAAGAGGAGTCAGAGGAGGAATGTGGATTTGAGGAGGAGGAGGAAGACCATCCCAGGGTGCTCGTTGTCACCTATCTGGTACCCGTGGTGTTGTACGTGGCTGGGGGGAAGAACATACCTTCAGTGAGATCAGTGAGGACGAGGAACAGGACATGAGTAGCTCGGCATCCAACCTTGTGCAAATGGGGTCTTTCATGCTGTTGTGCCTGTTGAGGGACCCGCATATAAAAAGGCTGAAGGAGAATGACCTGTACTGGGTGTCCACGCTACTAGACCCCCGGTATAAGCAGAAAGTGCCTGAAATTACGAATTACGGCACGTCGGAAAGGATGCAGCAGTTCCAAAATCAATTAAAAAGTATGCTTTACACAACGTATAAGGGTGATGTCACAGCACAATGGGAATCTAATAGGGGAAGAGGTGAAAGTAATCCTCCTCCTCCCACGACCACGCCAGCAAGGAAAGGGCGCTTTACAGACGTGTTGTTGATGGAGGACATGCAGAGCTTTTTAAGTCCTAAGCATCTCCACAGCCCTTCGGGGTCCACCCTCAGAGAACGACTCGACCGACAGGTAGCAGACTAACTCGCCTTTTCCCTGTTTATTCTGAATTCTGGTTTCCATAACTTGGCTTGTGTAAACGGTATTGTGTATTTTCTGGCTTCCTTGACCTCGGCTTTCCCTTTGACCATTCTCTGTCTCTAGCGTATTAGTCCGGCCATTCTAAGGTCCGGTTTACACTCTGTCCTTTTTTTTTTTCCTTTTCTTGCCTATGTATATGTTTACATAGTTTCTGCGTGCTGGACCACACTAGTAGTTGTGACATTGGGATTAAACTGATAAGAGTAGTACTACTTAACACACCACTCCTATCTGGTGGCACATTAGATTGCACGCGCAGTGCCCCAAATTTGAAGAAGGAGGACCGACCAAGCAACTTTTTCCATCTCCCGGTTCCTAAAATCGATGCCATATACACGTCCCCTGATTGGGGACGTAACAGGGATTAAACTGGTAAGAATAGTACTACTCCTATATGGTGGCACATTAGATTGCACGCGCAGTGCCCCAAATTTGAAGTAGGAGGACCGACCAAGCATCTTTTTCCATCTCCCGGTTCCTAAAATCGATGCCATATACATGTCTCCTGATAGGGGGAATGAGTGTGACAAACTCCCCTTTTCAGTTGAGTTTGCTACGAGTTCTTGGTGGGGACTACTTGCCAGCATTTTACCCTGTGACGTTGGCCCCTGCAATAGAACTGGCTAATATACTTGAAAAAGACCCCCCTGGAGCTTGTTAACACCTATTAACAACTTGGAACGTTTCTCACCGCAGTGTTCTTGTTTTTCGTCTGGGTGGCCGCGATTCCTATGAACAACCTGTCAGGATTACAAGTTGATCCAGCACGCAGGACTAAGGATAACGTATAACAGGACCTTAGAATAGCCGGACTTAACGTCTTCAAGAATAGTCAAAATACTTGCCGAGGTCAGGGACACAGAATCAGACACAAAAGATGAGGGAAAGCCAAAAGTCAAGGATACCAGATATCAGGGAAGTCAAAACAAAGCCAAAGTCAAATACCAGAAAATCAAGATCAGGAACGCACTCTCGGATAACCATAGGCAATGAGCAAGAGAAGAACTGGGCCTAAATACCCCTCGTGTGGATAAGGCAATTACCAGGTTTCCATTTGCATGATTGCTGCTCAGCACAAACCCTCCTGTGGATTTGATTGCTGCTCTGCACAGCTTTTCCTGTCAGGACAGTAAATGCCATTACCCACATTTTTTTGTGCAGATGAATATGTGACACAACCACGAGGTGGTGGCCATCTTGTTTGCATGAACGCAGGAAGCGGTGTTCGGGCGTGAATCTCATGGAACTGATATCGGATACAGAAACTTCCGAACACCGCTGAACTCCCATCATCGCCTGCGTTTGTTTCTATTCAGCTTAGAAGAGCACTGTCCGGTGAGATCATTTGTCTAGATGAAGGGAATAAGCTCTATTGGCTCAGTTCGGTAGTTTGTTCATTTGCAAACTACCGAACTAGACCGGCCGCAAGCCCTGATTCTCTTGAACTGTTTTGGGCATGAAACCATGCGTGCGGTCGGTCAAAAGAGACTTCCAGGTGGGATTAACAGGATGAGAGAGACACAAGTGGGGTTAACAGGATGAGAGAGACACGGATGGGGTTAAAAGAATGAGAGAGATACAGATGGGGTTAGCAGGATGAGAGAGATACAGATGGGGTTAACAGGATAAGAGAGAGACACAGCAGAACCAACCTCGCCACTGGCCACTGGAAGAGCCTGGTCGCCCGCCTCCTGCCGCTGGACTATGGCCCCATGTTTAATACTGTTCTTTTTCCCTGCAGAAAGGTTGGTTCGTGCCTTTCTGCGGACTGTTAAAGCCATGCTACCCCAGATAGCTATGCCATGGAGCCCAGCCGTATACTGAAAGACTTTGGCTCCATGGCGATTGAACTGTATGTATGTGATCTGAGCGCCATCCGGTAGTAATGGGCGCTCAGATCTAGGCTATCTGGGGATAGGTAGAATGTGTATGTTCTATGTGATAAATGTAACAGTATGTATTTTTTTGTCTTTTATTGTCTTTTGTCTGGCATGTGGTTAATTGAGTTTTGCCTCTGTCCTTGGAGATAATTGGATTACTTCCCAATTATCTCCAGGACAGAGAGGAGGGATTGTGATGCATTGTGGGATTGTAAGCTTGTGATTGGTCAATGTCCAATATGTTTCCCAGTTTCCCATCTGGCCCCCTAGGAGAGTGTCCACCAGGTGGGAGGCCTGCATAAAAGCCGGGCAGGTAGCCCCAGTAAATCAGTTCTGCTTGACCCTCAAACGAAGTGTTGTCTCGTTCTTGGGGAGAATTGGATTGTATGCTGTTACAGTGCGACTGCCAGGAGTGTAAACTGTTCGTATGGTTTTTCCTGTTCGGCTGTTTACAGCATTCGTGTGTTTCCTGTTCGGGAGTTTGGAGCATTCCCCTGGTTCCAGTTCGGGAGATTGGTGAATTAATGCGTTTGCAGTTCGGGAGATTGATGAATTCATGTGTTTGCAGTTCGGGAGATTGGTGATTGCAGTAGCTGTCTGTGCATCTGAAAAGGCGAATATCGCCTAAATGGTTTTTAACCTCTTGTGTGCAAAACGGTCCGTTACACACAGATGGGGGTTAACAAGATGAGGGAGATACAGATGGAGTTTACAGGATTAGAGAGACACAGATGGGTTAACAGGATGAGAGAGACACAGATGGGGTTAACAGGAAGAGAGATATAGATGGGGCTAACAGGATGAGAGAGACACAGATGGGGCTTACGGGATGAGAGAGACGCAGACGGAGTTAACAGGATGAGAGAGACACAGGACGAGAGAGACACAGGACGAGAGAGACACAGATGGGGCTAACAGGATGAGAGAGACACAGATGGGGCTAACAGGAGGAGAGAGACACAGATGGGGCTTACGGGATGAGAGAGACACAGATGGGGTTAACAGGAAGAGAGACACAGATAGAGTTAACAGGAAGAGAGACACAGATGGAGTTAACAGGATGAGAGAGACACGGATGGGGGATAATAAAACAATAAAAAACAAACGTGCACAATGCTTTCAGAGATTGTTGCGGGCCTAAGGGGCAGCTGCTTTGGGTCCCCTAGTTGCTCCTTTTGTACCGCTGCCACATTAAAGAAGGCCATTTTGTTAACATTGTTGTTTAAGGGGGCTGAACCCTGGCCAGCCTGACACTGTTTGTATGTCCATCCATGCCCATCTTTAGTCAAATATTAGGCATGTGGAGTGTGATGAGGATAATGTGGAAGCTTTATGGGTAGATATCTGCTTGGGGGAAAAGAATGGAAATTAATTATTGGTTGGGATATGTTATAAACCACCTAATGTAAATATTAATGAGGAAGAACAGCTGTTAGAGCAAATTGGTAAATCTGCAAATCTGGGTAACATGTTAATTATTGGAGATTTTAATTATCCAGACATAAATTGGGATAGAGGGACTAGTGCCTCAGCAAAGGGAATCAGGTTTTTGAATGTGTTAAATGACACCTTCATGTCACAACTGGTACAAGCACCAACTAGACAGGATGCTTGTCTGGATCTCGTTATAACAAACAACGTTGATCTTTTAACCAACATTCAAGTAGGGGAGCATTTGAAATAAACTCAAAAAAAAAACAAAGCACATGGGGAATACTAAAACATATAATTTTAAAAAGGCCAATTTCTATAAGTTAAGGGCAACTTTACAATATATTGACTGGCATAAACTATTTAGTGATAAAATGGAATATCTTCCAACAAATATTAGAAAGGTACATTTCTCAGTATGTACCGTTGGGTAATAAATATAAAAGAAACAAATTAAAACCAATGTGTCTTAGTGGGAAAGTGAATCAAGAAATACAAAATAAGAAAAACGCATTTAAAACCTTTAATGTTGACAAATCAGATTCATCCTATAAAAGATATACAGTGAGGGGGAAAAAAGTGTTTGATCCGCTGCTGATTTTGAACGTTTGCCCACTGACAAAGAAACGATCAGTCTATGATTTTAATGGGGTTTTTTTTGCATGTCAAAAAAAGTTATAAATTGAATTGCATGTCAATGAGCGAAATAAGTATTTGATTCCCTATCAATCAGCAAGATTTCTGACTTCCAGGTGTCTTTCATACAGGTAACGAGCTGAGATTAGGAGCACTCTATTATTCACAAATGGAAGAAACACAAAATAACTGTCAGTCTCCCTCGGTCTGGTGCTCAGGGGAGGGCTGGCAGCCTTAGGCCTGGGGGGCAAAACCAGTCAAGTGGCCCATTGCACCACCAAATCAGTTCACCATCCATGCCCATCTTTTCCTGGTTTTATAACGGATATTGATGTTATGCTAATCAGTATCTCTTTGCCATACCCACTCCTTCGTGGCTCTGACTTTCAATGTTGTCAGAGCGCAGGCTGAGAATCTCTGAGCCTGTGCTCTGACTCACTAACTGACAGCCGGAACCACGAGGGAGAGGATATGATCTGACTGCACCTACTGCTGGTGCGCACCAGTGGACCACCAGCGAATCGTTTAAATTGAATAGGCTGGTGTCCCCAACTTGTGAGCTGTGTTGGCCGCCGGGCGCCTCTGTTGTCATGGCACCCTGCGTGACCGCACAGTGTGCACACCCCAACGGCTGGCCCTGCTGACACACTGACGTTACTACTTAGAAATCCCTCAAAATGAATACAGACATCAGAGTAAACACCAATAAACTGTGTAAACAGAGCTGATCCCCCCAAATTTATAAAGATTTGCTTACTGGATTTGTTGTAAGATTAAATCATGCCTCCTCTCTCTCTCTTCCATGCGCTGCTCTGTAGGCTGGGAGGAATTGATGGATAATCACAATCTCCCAGCACAGCGGCACCTGTGGCTGCATGGGGAACAGCTGTATTTGCCGCCCCCCATGTGACATCACAATGCCCCACCTATATGAGCTGCCATACGAACTAACGCCAGTGCTGCCCACAGTGTGTGTTTACATTAAAAAGCCTGCAGGGACCGGCTATAGACACCAGAACCACTTCATTAAGCTCCAGTCGTTCTGGGGACTATAGTGTCCCTTTAATGTAATGTAAATTATAGATTAGTGTCACTAATAATATACTAGATTGCCTACTTACAACCAAATGAGGATGATGATGGGCTGCAGTTTGGCTCCACTGGTCTGGTGTAGAACAGGATCTCTGGAGGCTGTTTGCAGCTGTGGTCACAAAATTCAATGTTCTAGGAGAATTGGAAGCAGCTCCATTTTTTGGGGGGCCCCGTACACAGCTCAAGGTCTGGGCCCCAGGGCTGACGGTGAGTATGCCCACAAGGCCCACTCATAAGTCCACTTATATATTCCACCCACCCATGAGTTGGCTCACAGGGAGTGGAGTATGTAGGGGATGTGTTATGTGTTATTGTAGAGGATCTAATATGTGTGCTTATGGTATGTAGTGTATAGGGATACCAGTTTGTGCAGGTGATGCAGTGTGTTTGTGT